TCCAAACTGTTGTATGCACAGTCACTAGTGTGTACAAGCTAAATCAGCACAATACGTGAGCACAATACTCCCAACGCCAGGACAGGGACCTCTATTGCTACCAGACTCTCAAAGGTGATCCTGAGTAAACACCGAGTTTGATAAATTCCATGCTGGAGTATGATCTCATGTCCTACAACAATAACTGTAAGATAAGACTTGTCCTTTGGAAGGCTTGTGAAGGAATGAAACTTATTACACTATCTTACAGAGACAGCTGAGAAAAGGGAGAGGCTGAACACAGATGTCATACACTCTCGACACATTTTTCCATACACTTGGGGATAAAAAAAGGGCACTGACAAAGAATGTTTGCTGGGGTGATGGGGGCACTGATATTTTCCTCTTTTGCTCTGTTTTTAAGGGAAAATTTCCCCAACTGTCTTGAGAAAAAAAAGCAAACACAAAACCTTTGTTGAAAAGTTTTGTGGAAAACAATGTTTACAGCAATTTTTGCTAAAAGTAAACCTCAGGTTTCCAACCATCTCTCCGAAGTACCCTTTAGTATTAACAGATGTCTGGTTGGAATCTGTGTGAGCCAGTGAACTCATTCTGAACAGACACCAAAAAAGTGCAAAATTTTTGTTCCACGTAATCTGAGCACAAGATGCTTTCTCCCAAACTTCATGGATTTGACTTCTATCATGCAATTACTATTTTATCTTCCAGAAGTAAGGACCTCAAATGCAGAGTCAACAAGCCTCCCAGTCAATGCAATCTGCTTTTCCAGATTTATATTTTAGCTATAAGTAGTACTGGAGCAAAGTGCTGGAAATAGGTATTTAGTCTGGGGTTATAAATAGGAGACATTTCATTTGACGGTGTACAGGCCTTGCTTATAATAGCAGTGGCCTTGATGGCTGCAACTTTGAATTCATTAATTCAGTCAAGGGAAGGCAGTGAAGATCCAAAGCAGATAATTAGGCTGAAGATAGCCATGATAGCTGTTAAATTAAGGAATCACTGCAGTCTTATATAGTGGTTTATATTTCTGCCTGCACTTTCCTCTACATTCTTTACGTACTGTCTTCACAGATGCATATATACCCTTTCTTACTGTATCAATTCTTTTTTACACAACGCTTGCCCATATATTCACTCATCGCTATGCACTGCAGTGAGGCAGTCTCGATGAAGCCAGTCTGTAACTGCACAAGTCTTTAGCAGTTAAGCATTCCATTTCCCCTTGCCAATTCTCCAAAGTCACACAACATTTTAAGTTATTAAATTCTAAATAAAGGCGATTAAGGATGCCAAATTCTATTCTGTGCTAAAACTGGCAATCAATATTTGTCAAGACAATAATGTCTTTGAGCCCAGCAGACCATTATTCTATAATTTTTTTCTTTTTTTGGTAAAGATAGTTCATAACATTTTCCAGTAACTGCTGCATCAAACCTAGAGTTCTGGTTGAGTTAGAGAGCATCTGAATTATCATACCAAATTAGGTATGTTTCTCAAAATAGAATAGGTTTTTTTTTTTCTTATTAATACTGGATTTATGTTTGAAATACAGTGCTTTTTTTAGCTGAAAAACACAGATGAGTTCATGTTAATAGCAGGGTGAAACAACACACGCATGTACATAGCAAGGTAGCGAACCATTTCTTAAAGCATCAGAGGAATGCAATACCTGTATACTTGAAATATAACCGCAGTTCCCATGAATCACCTTTAAAATCTTGGTCTGAGATTTATATATATTTTTCTTTCCATAGGAAGATGGGTTGTTGTTCTTTGTGCAATTATTTTGCCAGTCATGTTTATTATGAGAAGATAATGTCTATGTGCAGCAAATTTGAGAGTGGATTCAGACCAGCCTTGTAAATGTGCGGAAAATGGGCAGAGAATGTTTATCACAGTATTTTCCATTTTTATGAGGATGCAGTTGGTTATTATGACAAGGTGAAAGGTCTCAAAGCCTTCATTTTTAGGCCACAGGTGTTCTTTGTAGAGGTTTTTTTTAATAAAGAGTATTATTAGTCCTTTAAA